TGGAAGGCCAAGCTGGGCAGATCATCTCAGGTCTGGGGTTTGAGACCAGCCTGGCTAACATGGCCAAACTCCAGCTTTACTAAAAGTACAAAACTCAGCCGAGCGTGGTGATGTGCACCTGAAATCCCAGCTACTGGGAGGCTGAGGCAGGAGAATCACTTGAACCTGGGAGATGGAGGTTGCAGTGAGCTGAGATCCTGCCACTACACTCTGGCTTGGACAACAGAGTGCGACTCTGTCTCCAAAAAAAAAGGCCAGGTGGGGTGGCTCTTACCTATAATCCCAGCACTTTGGGAGGCTGAGGGAGGTGGATCATGAAGTCAAGAGATCAACACCATACTGGCCAACATTGTGAAATCCCGTCTCTACTAAATATACAAAAAATTAGCTGGGGATGGTGGTGCACGCCTGTAGTCCCAGCTACTTGGGAGGCTGAGGCAGGAGAATTGCTTGAACCTAAGAGGTGGAGGTTGCAGTGAGCCGAGATTGCGCCATTGCACTCCAGCCTGGGTAACAAGAGCGAAACTCCGTCTCAAAAAAAAAAAAAATAAATAAAAAAAAAATAAATAAAATAAAGAAAACGAAGTCAGTGTGTTGAAGAGATATCTGCACTCCCATGTTCATTGCAATATTATTAACAATAGACAAGGTATAAATCAACCTAAGTGTCCATCAGTGGATGAGTAAAGTGTGATTTGCATACACAAATGTGGTATATATACTCTTAACCTTAACCCATTTCCTTAAAATGAATTTTTCCTTAAAAAAGGAAGGAAATGCTGTTATTGGTGATAACATGGATGAACCTGGAAAACATTATGTTAAGTGAAATAAATCAGGCACAGAAAGACAAATACCACTTATCTCACATGTGGAATCTAAAAAAGTTGAATTCATTGAAATAGAGAGTAGAATGGTGGCTGCCAGAAGCAAGATGAGGGTGTGCATGAGAGGGTTGGAGAGACATTGGTCAAAAGATACAGAATTTCAGTTAGCAGGAGAAAAAGAGATCTATTGTACATCATCGTGACTAGTTAATAAAAATGTTCTAACCAGAAAATGATATACATTTGATACAATGATAATTAACATTTGCTTGATTTAGTCATTCTACGGTGTATACATATATAAAAAAATCATGTACACCATAAATATACATAATTTTTATTTGTAATAAAGAGAAAAGGGTCTCTTGTAGACATATAGTTGGATCTTGTTTTTTCAACCTATTCGCCTATTCCAAGTCTTTTAATTGGAGAATTTAATCCATTTATACTTAAAGTAATTATTGACAGACAATTTACTTAGTAGGAGTGTAACTTTGAGCCTGTTATTTACCTTTTCTAAATGAGTTTATATTTCTGTGAAATGGGCACAATTAAAGAGGCCACCTCCCGGGACTGGGGTCAGGATTAGTTGAGATAGTCTCAACTAGTGTAAGGCTAGACTAGAATGGTGCTTGACACTCAATGTTAGCTATCTTTTGATCCTGTGAAATAGGGCAACCTGGGTACTCAGGTGGGAAATACTTGCAACCAGAGGACCTGGACTCAAAATTTTGTTCCTACTTGGTTTGACATCTGCATTGCTGCCCCTTCTGAGAGGTTATTTACACTGATCAACCTTGTTTTGCAATTCATGACCCCAGGATTCAGCTAACTGGACAGGAATGGACACCCAATTTGAGGTGAAAAATCCACCAAATAGGGATATTGGGGACTAACTGGAAAATTCAAATGCTTTCTTTTGGAGAATCTGAGTATGAGACACAGAGAAAGGATTAGTAGTCAGTACTGCGGACAGAAACAAAGAGACACACAGAAGAAAAGTTATAAGAGGAAGCTTTGAGTCAGCGGAAGCTACGGGTGAACAGGAGCCATCAACTGACAAGAATTATGTGTCAGCAGAAGCTTGAGTCTTGGCAAAAGCCACAAGTCAGCAGAAACTATGAGACAGAGAGTAGCATAGAGATAGCAGAGGAATAGGCCAAGACCCAGAGATACTGAGTCACTATCATGGTGGAGCCCAGAGGACAGAGCTAGGATGGTCCCATGACTTACAGAGCTGCTGTCAGCGTCAAGTGTAACCTAAAGATGTTCCAGCCTCTGTCAGCCCCGATTGGGTGGTGAGACTTTGGCCTTCCTGCTCTCATAATGTAACCTGAGAATGTTTCTCTTGCCAACTTACAAGAATCTGACACACCATCCACATCAAACTATCAGACTCCTCTGAGACTCAGTTTTCTTGCCTGTGAAATGGGGATGGCCAGATATACAAGCTGAATGGGTTGCGAAAGCTAGATCCAATTACATTCTGTCTACAAGAGACCCATTTTACTTTTTTCTTACAAATAAAAATTATATATATTTATGGTATACATGATATTTTGATGTATGTATACAGCATGGAATGACTAACTCAAGCTCACTAACGTGCATGTTACCTTGTATACCTGCTTTGGGCAGCTTAGCACCCATTTTTTGGGGATACCAGCCTTTATTTGACATCTGCCAGTAACAGGATTCCACCTCTAAGGTGGCCACACAATCCAGGCTGGGCCCATCAGCCTCATTGTAGAAATCTGCCTTTAGGTCAGGAAGTGGAAACCCTGAGAGAGTTCCTGGGTTCTTCTGCCAGGGATATTCTTTTTTTTTTTTTTTGAGATGGAGTTTTGCTCTTGTTACCCAGGCTGGAGTGCAATGGCGTGATCTCGGCTCACCACAACCTCCGCCTCCTGGGTTCAGGCAATTCTCCTGCCTCAGCCTCCTGAGTAGCTGGGATTACAGGCACGCACCACCATGCCCAGCTAATTTTTTAGTAGAGGCGGGGTTTCACCATGTTGACCAGGATGGTCTCGATCTCTTGACCTCGTGATCCACCCGCCTCGGCCTCCCAAAGTGCTGGGATTACAGGCGTGAGCACCGTGCCCGGCCCTGCCTGGGATACTCTAAGCTCTCCAGGCTTCTGTGTTTTCTAAGGCCAGTTTATTCAACTCTTTTTTCTTTTCTTCTTCTTTTTTTTTTTTTTTAGAGTTGAGAATTTTATTTTATTTTATTTTTGTGCTATACTATTCCTTTTTTTTGTTGTTATTGTTATACTTTAAGTTCTGGGGCACATTCGCAGATAATGCAGGATTGTTACATAGGTATACACATGCCATGGTGGTTTGCCGCATCCATCCCCCTGTCAGCTATATTAGGTATATCTCCTAGTGTTATCCCTCCCTAATCTCCCCAACCCCTGCTATCCCTCCCCAACCCCCCACCCCTCAACAGGCCCGGGTGTGTGATGTTCCCCTCCCTCAACTCTCTACAACTCTTTTTTCTTTTGGAGAATTTCTGAATAGTCATCCCTTGGTATCCATAGGGGACTGGTTTCAGGGCTTCCCATGGCTACCGACCCCATATGTGCTCAAGTCACTCATGTGGAATGATGCAGTCCTTGCATTTAGCTGTGCATATCCTCCTGTATACTTTATTTTTATTTGTTATTATTATTTTTTTGAGACGGAGTCTCACCTTGTCACCCAGAGTGGAGTGCAGTAGCACAGTCTTGGCTTACTTCAACCTCTGCCTCAGCCGGGTTCAAGTGCTTCTCATGCCTCAGCCTCTTGAGTAACTGGCACTTTTGTATTTTTAGTACAGACGAGGTTTCACCATGTTGGTCAGGCTGGTCTTGAACTCCTGACCTCAAGTGATCCACCCACCTCAGCCTCCCAAAGTGCTGGGATTACAGGTGCGAGTCACCATGCCTGGCCCTTCTGTATAGATTAGATCATCTCTAGATTGCTTATAAAAACAAATACAATGTAAATAGTTGCTATACTGTATCATTCAGGGAATCATGACAAGAAAGAAGTCTGTGTTTAGTACAGATGCTTTTTGTTCTCTATTTAAAAAATATGTATATATATGTATTTTACAGAGGCAGGGCCTTGCTATTTTGCTCAGACTAGTCTTGAACTTCTGGCCTCAAGCAATTCTCCTGCCCCAGCCTGCCAAAGTGCTGGGATTACAGGCATGAGCCACTGCGCCCAGCCTTCCTGAATATTTTTATTTTTTTGAGACTGAGTCTCATTCTGTTTCACAGGCTAGAGTGCAGTTGTGTGATCTCGGCTCACTGCAACCTCCGCCTCCCAGGTTCAAGCAATTCTCATGGCTTAGCCTCCCGAGTAGCTGGGATCACAGGCTCCTTCCACCACACCCAGCTAATTTTTGCATTTTTTAGTAGAGACGAGGATTCACCATGTTGGTCAGGTTGCTCTTGAACTTCCGACCTTAAGTGATCCTCCTGTCTTGGCCTCCCAAAATGTTGGTATTACAGGCATGAGTCACTGTGCGCTCCTGTATATATTCTTAGCCTCGGTTGGTTGAATTAATAGATGCGGGACCCACAGAGGCAGAGGGCCAAATGTAGCCTTCCTACAGATCTTTTTTTCTTGTTAAAGTAATAACCCTAGCTAGACCCACACCTCACAGAACTGCTGTGAAGTGACATAAGCCAGGACTTATGTGGAAAAGCTTCGTAAATGATTTAAATGAATCTTCTGGCTGGGAGCGGTGGCTCATGTCTGTAATCCCAGCACTTTGGGAGGCCGAGATGGGTGGATTACCTGAGGTCAGGAGTTCGACACCATCCTGGTCAACATGGTGACACCCCATCCCTACTAAAAATACAAAAATTAGCCGGGTGTGGTGGCGCATGCCTGTAATCCCAGCTACTGAGGAGGCTGAGGCAGGAGAATTGCTTGAACCCGGGGAGGCGGAGGTTGCAGTGAGTGAAGATCACGCCACTGCACTCCAGCCTGGGGGACAAGAGTGAAACTCAGTCTCAAAAATTAAAAAAGGAATCTTCTGGCCTGTGTTTCAGTTGAACAAAATGAGGTCTAGAGAGGGGAGAAGTGAGGGGCTCCAGGTGACACGGGCGGTCTGGGGTGAAAGGGGAATGGGGGCGATGTGACCTCCAGGCGGGTGCTCTTTCGCACGTCCTGATGGTTCCCTACCCTTCCTTAACTCCGCTCCCCTTCCTTCCTTCCCTCCACTTTCTCCCCTCCCCTACCTTCCTTCCCCCCTTCCCTCTTCCCTCCCCTTCCTCCCCTCCCTTTCCTTCCTTTCCTTTCCCTTCCTTCCCTCCACTTCCTTCCCTCCCCTTCCCTCTTCCCTCCCCTCGCCTTCCTCCCTCCCCTTTCTTCCTTCCCTCCCCTCCCCTTCCTACCCTCGCCTTCCCTCTTCCTTTCTCTTCCTTTCCTTCCCCTCCCCTCCCCTTCCCTTCCCTGCTCTCCCCGATGTGCCTGCATTCCCTACCTAACAGTACTGGGCTCTGAGAACCAGAACTAGCCCACTGTGTTCATCCTTTGAAGGAAGATTCTCAGCCGAAACCAGATCCCAGTTTCCCGTGGGCTTTGACGAGTCCTTGCCAAACACTGTGAGTGCTGCCGTTCCTCTTTCTGAATCAGGTGAGATTGTGACGCTGCCCTGAATCGAAGTCAAATGGGGGCTCTTCTCTGCAGTACCACAGAACTACCTGTAGGTGGCAGGGTAGGACTGCAAATGTCCTGGAATATTGGTCCCTGAGCGCAAGCCCAGATGAGCTGGGGTACAGCATTTGCTTGCGGTGGGGAAGAGGAGAACGCGGGAGGGAGGAGGAAGGAAAGCGGGAGTGTTGCCAGTCTTGAGGCAAAAGAGAGTTGACTTGAGGGCTGGAGGACAGGAATAGTTGGTGTACCTCATCTGTCTATCTCTCCATCCACCCATCCAGCTACCTACCCAACTACCCTCCATCCATCCACCTATCCTCCATTCACCCACCCGCCCATCCATCTACCCATCTACACATCCACACATCCATCCAACCACCCATCTACCCATCTACCATCCACACATCCATCCAATCATCCATCTATCCATCTACCCATCTATTGACCCATCCACCCATCCTCACATACATCCATCTAACCACCCGTCTATCGATGTGTTCATCCATCCATCCATCCACCAATCCACCCATCCATGCAACAAATACTTTTAAGCACTTGTGCCAGTATGCATATACATACACACATATCTATGCACACACATACATACACACTGATATATCACACACATGCATACACACACACACAGAATAACCAGCACTGCCTTTTGTTGAGTGTCAACGTTGCTTTTCTCTCTCCAGCTGGTAGTGCGGATTTCTGGGCCTGTCTGTGGTTCCCATTACTAGCACCCCATTCCCAATATTATTCCTTGCTCCTTTACTTCTGTGCAAAGCAGATGTCATCTGGGGCCCATTTTGCCTCTTACGATTTCAATAAAATTTCCTCCAATGTCCTTCCTCCTCCTCTACCCCATTCCTGAGGTGGTCTCAAGTCCTTGCTGGAATTTCTGCCAACTCCTGACTTTTTTGCCTCTAGAGCTCTGGCTCCTAATAAGATATTTCTGACTTGCAGTATATCATATTTTGAAAATTTGTTATTATTGGCCAGGCGCGGCGGCTCATGCCTGTAATCCCAGCACTTTGGGAGGCTGAGGCAGGTGGATCACCTGAGGTCAGGAGTTTGAGACCAGGCTGGCCAACATGGCAAAACCCCATCTCTTCTAAAAATTACAAAAATTAGCCATGTGTGGTGTTGCATGCCTGTAATCCCAGCTGCTTGGGAGGCTGAGGTGGGAGAATCACTTGAATCTGGGAGGTGGAGGTTGCAGTGAGCCAAGATGTCGCCACTGCACTCCAGCCTGGGTGACAGAGCAAGACTCTTGTCTCAAAAACAGTCTTATTTCCACTTCTTAGTCTACAAACTATACTCGTCAATGGATGTTTTTTAAATTAAAATTAATTGTTTTTACAGCAGTAACAACCACAAAAACATTTATTCACAGTAGTCACACTAGACCTGTGTGAGTTTAGCAGACTCCAAGAAAGTTTTTGGGAGGTGTCCTGGGAGGGAACACGCTTCAGACACCTGACTTTGGCACCTCTCTGCTCACCCATCTCCCACCTCCTCCCTCCAGGGCGCCTTCTTCCTCCCTCTGTTATGTCAGCCTTATCCTTGGGGGACTAGGGATTCTTTAATCTCTTGGACATTTATGTGGGGCGATTGGACCCATGGGCTCTGAAGTTAGATGTTTGACCTGCGAAAGTGGGAAAATGGGGGAGAAAGAACAGTTTGGGAAAGAAAAGATGTCAGGAATTGGCAGGTTGAGTGGTGGGACGCCAAGTTACACATCCATGTAGCTAGGTCTGACACTCAGGGGAGAAGCCAGGGCAGGGGACACAGATGCGGGAGCCTGTCACCACGATGAGGGTTCTGCAGCCTTGGGAGTGGATCCACCTGTCAGGAAGTAGGTACCCTCTTGACCTCCAGGTCCTGGCACACACGGCGCCTTCACTCTCCCTTTGCAGTTCCTTGGCTTCCTTTGGACGCTTTCTGCAACCCCCTGGGCCGGGTTAGTTGCCTTTGTTGAAACAGAGTAAGAGGTCTGACCTCAGGCAAAAGTGCTTCCTTTCCATTTTCTCTTTTTTTTTTTTTTTTTAAATTTTTTATTGGATTATAGGTTTTGGGGTACATGAGCAAAGCATGCAAGACAGTTGCGTAGGTACACACATGGCAGTGTGCTTTGCTCCATTTTCTCTTTTTCTCTTTCTTTCTCTCTCTGTCTCCTCTCTCTCTCTCTCTTTCTTTTTGAGGGAGTCTCACTGTGTCGCCCAGGCTGGGGTGCAGTAGCATGATCTCCAGCTTACTGCAGCCTCCGCCTCCTGGGCTTTACAGATCCTCCTGCCTCAGCCTCTCAGTAGCTGGGATTGCAGGTGTGCACCACCAGGCCCAGCTAATTTTGTATTTTTAGTAGAGACGGGGTTTAGTATTTTAGTAGAGACGGGGTTTCACCATATTGGCCAGGCTGGTCTCGAACTCCTGACCTCAGGTGATCCACCTGCCTCAGCCTCCCAAAGTGCTGGGATTACATGCATAAGCCAACACGCCCGAGCAGTGCTTCCTTTCCCTTTTTATTATTATTTATTTGACTCTTACGCTGTTGCCCAGGCTGGAATGCAATGGCGCCATCTCGGCTCACTGCAACCTCCACCTCCTGGGTTCAAGCAATTCTCTTGCTTCCGCCTCCCAAGTAGCTGGGATAACAGGTGCCCTCCACCACATCTGGCTAATTTTTGTATTTTTAGTGGAGACAGGGTTTTACCATGTTGGCCAGGCTGGTCTCGAACTCCTGACCTTGTGATCCGCCCGCCCCTGCCTCCCAAAGTGCTGGGATTACAGGCGTGAGCCACTTTGCCCCAGCTGTACTTCCTTTTTTTTCCATGCCTCTGAGGCAGGCTGGTTTGAGGATGGTGCATCAGAAAGACAATAGCCCTTTGCTTCTCTCTTGCTCCCTCGATTAGTCTAGATCAGGTTGTAAAGGACCTACCCACAGGCCCTGGAGCCTGTTAGCAGCCCTCTTTCAACAAGGCTTGCGGAAGAGGTGAAGGCTGTTTATCTCCCCTCATCTGCTGTGTAAAATCTAGGAATTTTGAGGTCTGATTAGGGGCAATGAGGGTTTTTTAAATGGCCCATTAGGCTATCAAATATGAGACCCAGACGTGAATATGGAGTTGTGGTTTGAAAAGGCAGCTCAGAGGTCGGGCTCGGTGGTTCATGCCTGTAATCCCAGCACTTTGGGAGGACAAGGTGGGCAGATTACAAGGTCAGGAGTTCGAGACCAGCCTGGGCGACATGATGAAACCCCATCTCTACTAAAAATACACAATTTAGCCAGATGTGGTGGCAGGTGCCTGTTATCCCGGCTACTTAGGAGACTGAGGCAGGAGAATTGCTTTAACCCAGGAGGCAGAGGTTGCAGTGAGTCAAGATCTCACCACTGCACTCCAGCCTGGCGACAGAGCAAGACTCTGTCTCAAAACAACAACAACAAAAAAGGGCAGCTCAGAGAGGTTAAGTGTCTTGCCTGAGGCCACACAGCTAACTAAGAAAGAGCTGAGAATTGAACCCATGTGTGTCTGACCTGGTTCTGGGCTCTTTTCTGAACAGGATTCATCCAGCCTCACATACTCAGTGTAGAAGAGAGGTAGTGGGAGAGGAGCACTGCAGAGAGAGGAGCCTGATTCATGGGGCTGCAAGCTGGTCCTGGGTCCCATGGGGCCTTGGGGTGAGGAAGTGGCAGGGACTACCACCAAACTGAGAAGCGGATCCAAGCTGACTGGGGGAGAGGACCCTGGCTGTGGGTGCCCATCTGCCAGCTTGTATGAAGGAGCAGGTGGGGGAGGTGGGAGAGGGGAAGTGATGCTTATGTGGGACCACAGGAAACTCTAGATTTTGGTCAGTAGTTGGAAAGTACCAGCAATTTCTCTTTCAACTGAAAACCAGAAGGAGGTCAGGTCTGTCTTTCCTTCCTTCCCTCCCTCCCTCCCTCCCTCCCTCCCTCCCTCCCTCCCTCCCTCCCTCCCTCCCTCCCTCCCTTCCTTCCTTCCTTCCTTCCCTCCCTCCTTCCTTCTCTCTCTCTCTCTCTCTCTCTCTCTCTCTCTCTCTTTCTTTCTTTCTTCTGTTTCACTCTGGCACCCAGGCTGGAGTGTGTAGTGGCACCATCTTGGCTCACTGCAACCTCTGCCTCCTGGGTTCAAGTGATTCCCCTGCCTCAGCCGCCTGAGTAGCTGGGACTACAGGCACACACCACCATGTCTGGCTAATTTTCCGCATTTTAGTAGAGACAGGGTTTCAGCATGTTGGCCAGGATGGTCTTGATCTGCCCACCTTGGCCTCCCAAAGTGTTAGAATTACAGGTGTGAGCCACCATGTCCAGTCAGGTTTTTCTTTTTAATGCAGAATTTGCAAAGGAAACAGGGATTTGCAGTGAGGCTGGAAGTCGAGAATCTGAGTGATATCCCCGAGAGAAAGGCTTTACATTCATGTGGAGTGGGTCAGAGCACCTTGAGTTGAGCTGATGAACAGCCACAGGATGGCACCAGGTTGTCACGACATGGAGAGAAGGGGATGAGGCAGTGGTTTGGCCACTGTGTCCTGTTTCCCAAAGAACAGAGAGTGTGACAGCCAGTTAGTGCCAGCAGGACTCCATCTCAGGGCAGGACCTACTTCACGGGACTACACAGAAAGAAGGAAAGCCAGGTTAGGCATGTTGGCTCATGCCTGTAATCCCAGCACTTTGGGAGGCTGGGATGAGCGGATCCCTAGAAGCCAGGAATTCAAGACCAGCCTGGGCAACATAGCGAGACGCCTGTCTCTACAAAATATAAAAAAGTTAGCTGGGCTGGGCGCAGTGGCTCACACCTGTAATCTCAGCATTTTGGGAGGCTGAGGTGGGTGGATCTTCTGTTTCACTCTGTCACCCAGGCTGGAGTGTGTAGTGGCCTGTAGTCCCAGCTACTCAGGCTTGAGACCAACCTGGCTGACATGGTGAAACCTTGTCTCTACTAAAAATACAAAAATTAGCC